AGTTCTTCGACTGAATACTTTGGATTTCTGAAGACTTTCTGAAGACTTTGAAAGTGAAGAAATTGATGTGACCGTGAAGACTTGGTATTCATTCGAGGAACATGAAGCGTGAAGACTTTTGTTTTTGTAGTTTCATTTTCTCTTTCTTGAGTCATAGAAAACATCGTACTGTTAAAGGGGGTCGAGGAAATACTAAGATTTTTTTTTCATGTGATGCTCAACACAAAATCCTACACCTACCAATCCCTTCGAGTGAAGCCATTGGAAATCTCATACAGTCCAGTCATATTCTTCAGTGACAGAGATGAAGTTCTTCTGGTCTCTGAGGAATTTGTTCTGACTAAGGAGTTATGAATTCGCCAGTGCAGATTTCCTACATAGTGAGGAACATGATAGCCCTGAGGATTTTGCTACTCAAAATTCCGACCGTTGTTGTGCTATGCGCCAGCTGTTCCAAAATATCTATCCACCTAACGGTCATATCATTGAAGGGCATTTATGTCTTATCATGCCGGGCTGATCCCTAGGCTATAAATAGCCGCCCCCTACAACCACTAGCTGGTTGACTGCTCCGAGAGAAACTGACACTTGTCATTTGAGAGCAACCCATCCTTTGAGGACTTTGAGCGAAAATCATCAAGTGAGGAAAAACCAAAAACCAAAACACCTACAAACCCCAAGTGATTGAGCATCACTGAAGAGATTGATTCTGCGTGGATCCGACGCTTGTTACCTTTGAAGATTGTGCCTCTTCCAGACGGTTAGGCGTCATGGTCTAGAGCATCCAAGAGGAATTGTGGATCGCCGAATGACCAACTTTGTGAAGGTTCGGAAGTCACCTGAACACTTACCACGAGTGATTGGGCGAGGTCTGTGTGACCTTAGCTCAAGGAGAATACGGTGAGGACTTGGTGTCCTGAGCTGCGTGCTCAGGACTGGGTGTCCGGGACTGGGTGTCCTCGAGTTTAAATACTCAGTCGCTCCAACCAGACATACAACTGAGACAACAATTGGAACTGATCTACCAAATTATTGTCTTCACCAAGCTTACTGGTTCTATTTCCTCAACTCTTTCATTTTCTCATAACTGTGTTGTGTGTTTGTTCATATCTGTGTTTGAAGACTTTGACTAAAGACTTTTTCAATTTCTTCAGTTTGTTTGTCTTCATCCTGTGTTATCATGTGCTTACGCTTCATGTACTCTGTGCCTGTCTTCATTTCATCATGATGACTATGCTTGTATTTTGTTATGTTTACTTTTGAGTGCTTATTCCGCTGCTAGTAGTTCTTCGCTAAGGAATTTTCTCAGCGGCAAATTCTTCGGTGAAGAATTTCATAAAAATCGCCTATTCACCCCCTCTAGTCGATATAACGCACTTTCAAATATAATCGGTGTCATTAGATTCATTATGAAATTAGTTTTTATATTTTACTTATTTGGTATGGTCGGTGTCGATGTTTAAAAAAATATAATACGGGCGGGGAAGATGATGGGGTATGTTTTTATTTATTTATAATGTGGTGTTTTGGTGGGGCTTTCAAGGTGTGATTTTGTGTTAACTCATACTTACATGCAATTTTTTTGCGTTGGTGGTTGCATGTACTACATTTATGCTACAATATCATATATTGATATTTTATTTTACTAGCTGGTGAGTGGGTGCCCGGGATTGATATATTTTTGTAGGTCGGCTGCTGCCGATTGATTCGAAAAACTATTGATTCAACCTAAATCCTGAACCAAGCCCAAAATTAAATACCTCAATCGAATGAAAGAGATTTAAAATTAGGAAGCATGGTAAATTAGAAGAAATGATTGAGAGAGCTTCTTGAGAGAAAAAATATTGTTGACCCGGTCAAAATCAGGTAACCCAATTTCAAATTGGATTCCTGAATTGACTATGAGACCTCAACAATTGGGAAGTATTTTTCTAAGTGGTGAGAGGGTGCACGGGATTGATATATTTTTTAGGCCGGTTGCTGTCGATTGATTTGAAAAATCATTGACGCATCAAAATATGAATCAAATCCAAAATTAAATACCTCAGTCGAATAGGAGAGCTTCAAAATTAAGAAACATAGTTTAAAAATAATCGATTAAGAGAGCATGAAAAAATGTTGACCCGGTCAAAATTAGGCGGTCCGATCTTAAATTGTAGACCTGAGTTGATTGTGATGCCAATGTATGTAATATAAGCCCGCGCCCCAATGCAAACTAGTAGCGAAAAGGAAGATGTGTTTTCATTTGATTTTTATAACTAAAGTTTATGTGTTGGTTTTCTTGGACCAAGCGGCAGAAGGCAAATGTTGTTTGCTACAAAAAAAATTTGGACCATGTTTTTTCATACTCCCCTCCGCTTCAAAATAGGTGCCGCGGACTTCATACAACATTCACCTATTTTGGGACGAAGAGAATATTATTTTCTTTTCTTTGAGGTTTTTTGCAATTTTATTTTTTATTTCTCTAATTGCTGACATTTTTATTTCCTTCCTATTTTCTCTTTTCTTTTTATGCTTCTTTACTGGTTTCCCTTATTTTTGGTTTCTTGCTACAATAAATGAATAAATATTTTCAAAAAATATAAACAATTTTCTATAATTGTGCAAACACTTTTTAAATCACACAGACATTTTCTTAGAAAGGCATGAGCATTTTTTAGGTTCATGAATATATTTTATGTTTACATGAACAGTTTAAAAAAAAATGTGCAGCACAATGTTTTTGTTTCATGATGAACATCTTCCAAAGTACATATTTTTTGGCCCCAAAATACGTGAACATTTAGAAATGTACATAAGTGAACATATTTTTATTCTTTTTGTGTTTACGTTTTCCTACTATTTTTATCTTTTCTATTTATTATTTTTATGTTTTTCACTCTTCCCTGTGTTTTTGGAATTTCCCCTTTTAACACTTTTTTTTAAACATGATGAACATTTTTGAAAATTTTGATGAATATTTTTAAAAATATGAGATGATTTTTTTATAAACAGAATGGAGAATTTTTAAATACATACTATTGAATAATTTTTAAATACGTGATGATTTTATTTTTGCGCATGAACCTTTTTTAGAACACGCTCGGCATTTTTAGAGCTCACAAGAAGCGAGTTATAGAGGCACCCTTTTCGGGACGCTGGCCTGTGCAGCGCAGCTCGGGCCAGGGAAAAGGAGCCCAGGACCAAGAAGGCGACGGGGTAAGGACAGCTGGACGTCGGCGAGGTCGCCCCGCTGGGATCCGGCGAGGGGAGATGGAGGCGACGGGATGGCGGCCGGGAGTCGGCGTGCTTGCGCTCGAGACTCGAGAGGAGTGGCCGTGGCGGGGTCGCGGCTCGGCTCGGCGGAGTGGCGGCCGAGAGGAGGGAGAGGAGGCGGGGTGGCGGCTGGGCTCCGACTGCCCGCATGCCGACGCCGTCGCCGTCGCTGGAGAGAAGCAGAGGGCCAGGATGAGGGTGAGATCAGGAACAGGAGAGGGCGCAGCCAGCCAGGTAACCTCAGCTACACAATTTTTTGTTGAATACTAATAATGCATCGGGAGGATTTCTCTGCGCAAGAAAGATTGCACTATCTGTCTAGATGATGAGGTGGGCACATTAGGTACAACAATTTGTATACTCAAATTAGGACTGGCATAAGTCAATAGGATCCCCTTTATCAAAAAAAAAGTATGACTGTCTTGGCCTAATCTATGCATCATTGGGCAGTTGGCAGTGACGAATGCTTACAACTAAATTACTACACAGCAATGAATTAATACTAAGCAGCTCGCCAGTCTCTTTCACAAGACTAAGCAGCTCGCCAGTCTCTTTCACCATCGCAGCTCGCCGCCTTTGTTGAATAGGCTGTTTGTTTTACCCTGCATTTTTTCTATACTAGAGAAGCAGAGGAGGGGGACTAGTTTCTACCACCTAGTGTTGTCTCTCTGGGTATCCATCCAGTGCTTTATGTGCTCTCTTGCTTGTATCCAGTAGGCAGGTAAGGCATCAGGAATTCAAGAAGAGAATTTGAAGATATTGTTCGCCCTATTCTCTCCCGTTGATCGCGGTATGCATCTACTCAACTCTGAGGAAATTTTGTCTCGGCACGCGTGTTCGTTCCTTTGCTCTTGGTCCACTGATCACTAACTGAAGCTAGATTCAGATGGTCCGGTGGAGATAGGAAACAGTTTGTGGATCTGTGCTAACACGCACCGTGCCTCTCTCCTCTTGCAGCACGCTCATCAGTGCCTTATCAGTTTAGTTACTGACCCGTATTCAGGTATATATTCCATCTCAATGGTCTGCACCTTGATCCATAATCGCGGCACTGCTTTTGTTCACTACTTTTTAGATGATCTACTGCAGGTGATGGCAGCATGGTTTTATTCTTGGTGATTTGATTGATTTTCTTCTCTTCTCTATTTTTATCCTGGCCTGCGCTCAACCTTGTGAGGTCTTGAAAGCAGTGATGGGTTGATCGAAGCAAACCGTGTCTTCAAGGTCATCAATATTGATTCCTACTGTCGATGGTTTTTTCCCTGTTGGAAGACTGCTTTCTAAGGTAAAGACTAATCTATCTGTTTAATAGATTAAGATGTAACACTTAAAGCAACGTTTTCTCTGGTTCAGTATGTACACTGTTTTGAAGCTGCCATGGGATGGCCCTTCAGCTGAGAAAACATATACCAATAAATCATTTTAACTTACAAAAATAAAGCACATGTAAATTTGTAGAACACAAAAAATGAGAATATATAATGCCAACTCAGGATTTTAGACCACAATATGTGGCACTACTCAGGGTGCTGAATATGTTGTACGTTTCAGAGCTTCATTATGCTAAATTTATTGAAAATGTAAATAGCAACTCAATAGTGATATTTTTCACGCCTTCTAAGACTTGTCTCGGTTCTGAAAGCATGTTTACCTTGTGAATTCGTTTTCACCCTTTAGTTTTGCCATCCCCCAACAGGTCAACCTGATGTTTTTGGTGGGCCTCCTGAGCTGAGTTTCTCAGAGCAATGGCAACCATACTAGAATCTTTGCTTGGGTCATGTGCCAATAAGTTGCAAAATATTATTAGTGATGAGGCCATACTAATCCTAGGGGTGGAAGAAGAGCTTGCAGAAGTGTTGAGACGGGTAGAACTAATACGTTGTTGTATATATGATGCTGAGAAAAGGAGGACAAAAGAGCTTGCAGTGAACAATTGGCTTGGTCAACTGAGAGATGTTATATATGATGTTGATGAAATTTTGGACATGGCTAGATGCAAAGGAAGCAAACTACTGCCTGACCATCCATTATCATCAAGCAAATCAGCTTCCTATAAAGGACTTTCAGTTTCCTCTTGCTTTTGTAACATCGGGTCACGCCACGATATTGCTGTTCGGATTAGAAGTCTGAACAAAAGGATAGAGAACATTTCGAAAGATACAACATTTTTAACATTCAGCAGTAGTTCACAACCTACTGGAAATGGTCCAACAACCAAATTGATAAGAAGTTCCAACCTTGTTGAGCCCAACCTTGTGGGTAAGGAGATCATATATTCAAGCAAGAAGTTGGTAGACTTAGCACTTGCTCACAAGGCAAATAAGTCTTATAAGCTTGCTATTGTTGGAACAGGAGGAGTTGGTAAGACAACACTAGCTCAGAAAATATTCAATGACCAAAAAATAAAAGGAAGCTTCAAGCTACAGGCATGGATTTGTGTTTCGCGGGACTACAATGAAATAACTGTTCTAAAAGAGGTTCTTCGAAATATTGGTGTGTATCATGAGCAAGGCGAAACCATAGCAGAACTGCAGAGAAAGCTTGCAGAAACAGTTGAAGGGAAGAGTTTCTTTCTGGTTTTAGATGACGTGTGGCATCCCAATGTCTGGACGGATTTATTAAGAACCCCATTCCATACAACAAATTCTGGAGTAATATTGGTAACCACGCGAGATGATCAAATTGCAATGAGAATAGGCATACAACATACCCATCAAGTTGATCTCATGTCAGCAGAGGTGGGATGGGAGCTACTTTGGAAGAGCATGAACATTGCCGAAGAGAAAGAAGTGCATAATTTGAGAAACACAGGCAAGGAGATTGTTGATAAATGTGGTCGCCTCCCTCTTGCAATTAAGGTTACTGCTAGTGCTTTGGCAAGCAAAGATCTAACCGAGAATGAGTGGAGAAAGTTTTTAGGCAAATACTCTGGCTCCCAGGGGATGCTCTCTGATGAAATAGAAGGCACTCTATACCTAAGCTATGATGAGTTACCGCATCGTCTGAAACAGTGTTTCCTTTACTGTGCTTTGTATACTGAAGATTCTATCATTTACCGTGGTGTAGTTACAAAGTTATGGATTGCTGAAGGCTTCATTGAGGAGCAACAAGGCCAGCTACTAGAACACACAGCAGAAGAGTACTACTATGAGCTAATCCATCGGAATCTCCTCCAACCAGATGGCACAATTTTTAACCAGGCTCAATGCAGAATGCATGACCTCTTAAGACAGCTTGCTTGCAAATTATCACGGGACGAATGCTTTATTGGAGACGCTGAAACATTGAGGGGTGAGAATATGTCAAAATTGCGACGCCTTTCTGTTGTCAATAAGAAGGATAAATTAGTGTTAACTAGCATGGATAACATGGTAGTTAAGGTGAGGACATTCCTTGCTTTTTATGGTCCATGGAAAATTGAGGATACATTCTTCAAGAGATTTCTACTTCTTCGTGTTCTGGCCCTGAATTACTCAATTGTGCAAAACATTCCAGATTATATAGGAAAATTGATCCATCTACGCCTACTTGATCTTGGTCATACGGGCATATCTCATCTTCCAGAATCCATTGGATCCCTAAAGAACCTTCAAGTATTGAGCTTGATAAATTGTTATGCTCTGCAGAGTCTTCCGTCGGCGATGACCCAATTGTGCAATCTACGATGTCTTCGTCTTACTGGTACAAAAGTAAATCAGGTTCCAAAAGGGATAGGAGAATTAAATTTGCTCACTGAATTACGCGGATTTCTTGTCGGCAACATAAGTGATAATGCTGATGTACAAGATGGGTGGAAGTTGGAAGAGTTGTCTTCTTTGCCGCAAATGATGTATCTTAATCTTGTTAAATTGGAAAGAACGGCTCATTTTCATACAAATGTAGTGCTGGAGGACAAAAAACATCTAAAAGAATTGGTGCTAGAGTGGACCACACATGGAGAGGGACCATATTCAGAAGATGTTTGCAATGCTGAGAAGGTCTTTGAGCTGCTAGTACCTCCATGCAACTTGGAAACCCTCTATATCTTTGGATTCTTTGGTCAGAGGTATCCCACGTGGTTTGGTACCACCTGTTTGTCTTCAGTAACACACTTGTTCCTAAAAAATCTACAATCATGCGTGGATCTTCCACCGGTCGGACAGCTACCAAACTTGAAGTTTCTGAGAATTGATGGAGCACATGTAGTTACCAAGGTTGGACCTGAATTTGTTGGCTACAGGGTGGGTGAACCCATAAGCAATGAGTTCATTGCTTTCCCTAAACTTGAATGGTTCTTCGTCAAGGATATGCCCAACTGGGAGGAGTGGTCTTTTTTTAAGGAAGTGGAAAATGTTGTTGATGAAGGAGGAGACGATGGTGGTGATGAGATTCGTAACGGTGATGCCCAATCTATACGATTGCAACTGCTGCCTCGTTTGGTGAAGTTGAAAGTCGAAGGTTGCCCAAAGCTGAGTGCTCTCCCGCGACAGCTTGGCGAGGACACCACCAGCTTAAAGGAGCTCTTGTTAATTGGAGCGAACAGCTTGAAGGCCGTGGATGACCTCCCAGTGCTTGAGCTCCTTGTGATTGAGGATTGTGAAGGCATGGAGAAGGTCTCCAACCTCCCTGAAGTGTCAAAACTACAAGTACGTGGTTGTCCAAACTTAAGCCATGTAGAGGGGTTGGGCAATTTGCAGCAGCTGGGGTTGGGCGAGGATATGCAGGAGATATCTTCCCGTTGGGTGCCTGGGCTTCAGAACCAGCGCCAGCGACTTCATGGCGAAGACCTGGATGTCTACACACTATCTATCGGTTAGATGGCAAGGAAAGCACAAGGTATGAACACTGCATATATACTGGTTGCACATTTTGTTTTGTGTCTTTGATTGTGTGAACCACAATTAATTTGTATTCTTAGTTTCTTGCAACACAATTTTCTGCCTCATCATATTGGATAGCTGCATAAATAGTACATATTGGGCCATTATGCTTGTGCAACAGAATTGCTTGGATCTATTGTGATTGTAGATGTCCACATGGATGTACCCCCTACGCTCATGCTGGACTGCCACACGTTTGTCATCATATTGTCCTTGCTTTTGATTAACCCAGGAATACATTTCTTGTAATGGATGCCTTGTTTTTATTTGCTTGTTGTAACTACTTCTGAATATTGTTTGTTCCCTAATTCAAACAATATGCTGAGCAAAACTGTGTCAGCCAGGACCGGTGCCACAGCTCGCTTCGACAGGCAAAACGCACGTGACACATACTAAGCCTGTCAATGGTAAGGATGTGCAAATACCTTGATCTGTAGCAAGCTGGGCAGGCTGCACTATATCGAATTTCCTCTTGTGTTTTCTTCCTGAACTTGAGCCGGAGACCTTTGCTGTACTTAAAATGTGTGTCATGACGTTCTTTGGATGAAACCAACCTATTTCATTTTATTTCTTTCTGAACTTGGTGCCAGAGGCCTTTGTTGTACTGAACCTGTCTTTGAATGCTTGAATTTCTTGAAATAGAAGTATAGAACTGGCGTTTCGTTTCGTTCGTTTCTGAACTTGGGTCGGATTGTAAATTATACCCTGGTTTGTTGCAGGAAGTGGTTGGTGTATGGGCCATGCTGCTAAGCTGACAGAGCTGCAGACTGAACACGGCACGACGTGTGCATGAATTTCGGGAGGTCAATGATGGGAACCTCAGCGGAGAGCAGAAATGCAGAAGATGACTAAGGCAGAGGCGCGCAGCCGCACTTTGAAGTAGCTGTCTGTGGAAAAAGCATCAAGTATGAAGGGCAAGCTCTGTTCTCTGCAACCGGAATATTAGATTATTTAGACTGCTGGCTGTGATTAAACTGAAGCGAGGTGTGTCTTTTGTGTAGTACTAACTTTGTATTAAATCAGCCGCACTTATCTGGGGACAGAGGGAATATTTGTTTACGCATGGATGGTCCCACATGGATGATCCATCTTGTGCTTAGGACAAAGGTTAATCAACGGCTGCACTAAAAGACAAACCGCAATCACCATAAGTTTGTAGTGTTCTTCTTTTTTCACTGCACGCAATTAAGTTTGTGATCTACTGTTTGAGCATTTTTCATTGGTCACTGGTCATCAGCAAGTTAAATATGACAGTTGGACCGAGCATATTTATTATTCTTGTTCATTTTTGAATGTTCAAATGTATTACTCCCTCCGTTCACTTTTGTAAGTCGTTTCAGACAGGTGAAATTGTGCTGTTTTGCACACTATCTGAAACATCTACAAAGCCTAGAGAGAGTATTAAGCCTGTTTTTTCAAATAACAATATACTCCAATTTAAGTATTCAGCTTTTTCTGTTTCTATAAAACGAAAAACTAGAGCTCGGGTACGGGCCCAAGAATTAGCCCGAGGCTCATGTCGTCGGCCTGGACTACCCATGCCAAGGTTTATACCGGCCCCTCCAAGACGGTAGGAAGTCTCACTATGGTCATTGGCGCTGCTAGCCACCCTGCCCGCGTCCCATTCATCGCGCGTCCTACTTGAGGTGATTTGAGCATGTTTTCTCCGGGTTTTTATTTCCTTTTTCTCATTTATTTCTTCATCTCTTTTTTCATTCTTTTTTGCATTTGTTTCTTCAGTTTTATTGTTCATTTTCTTTTTTTGTTTCTTCTTTGGTTTTCTTTATTCTTTTGGTTTTCTATATGTCAACAATATTTTTCTAATACATGTCTAACATTTTTCCAATACATATTCAATATTTTTTAATACATGGTCAACATTTTTCTATACATATTTTAAACATTTTTCAAATGCTTGATTAACATTTTTCAAAAACAAGATTACAATCTTTTAATACATGCTCAACATTTTTCCTATACACACTATTACATTTTTTCAAATGCTTCATTAACATTTTTCAAATACAAGATTAACATTTTTCTAATAAATGGTCAACATTTTTTATATGCATGTTAAACATTTTTCAAATACTTGATTAACATTTTTATACATAATCTCACATTTTTTAATGCATGATCAACATTTTTCTAAACACATTTAACATTTTTCAAATGCTTGCTTAACATTTTTCAAACACTTGTGAAATATTTTTTTCAAATGCTTGATTAACATTTTTATATACATGATAAAAAAATGCCATCATTTTTCGTCAACATTTTTTCTATACACAACTAGGATTTTTTAAATGCTTGCTTAACATTTTTCAAATACTTTTCCAATTTTTTTCAAATGCTTGATTAACATTTCTATATACATGATCAAAATTTTTCATTATTTTTTAATACATGGTCACCATTTTTCCTATACACATTTAACATTCTCCAAATGCGTGATTAACATTTGTTCAAAAAAGTTCAAATGCTTTATTAACATTTTTTAAATATACGATCAAATTGTTTCATACACATTTTTATATACATTTTTCGTATACGTGATTATCATTTTCTCTATACACATTTAATATTTTTTGAATGCTTGTCAACAGTTTGCAAATGTTTTTATGTACAGTAATTTTTTAAATATATTTATTTAGAATATTACGAAGTGTAAACAAAGGTAAAAAAAGCAGAACACGAAACAGAAAAAAAACAAAAATGAGGCTACTTTTTCCGTGCAGCTGGGCGGGCCCAATTGGCGCCACCCTTCGGTGAGGGTTCCCACCGTCTCGCTTATTGCAATACATAGGGGCGCCCCTCCAAGCTCAATCTAATTTTCTTCAGAGTCGATCCCTGTTCTCACACATAGATGCCCTCTTTTCGCGCCCACCACCTTCCACATCGACGACACCCCTGGAGCCATTGCCTCACCTTTCCACCATAGTAGATAACATGGATTTCATGCACCAGATGAATAGGTAATCAAGGGGAAAATAGGAAACAAATTAATTTTTTTTGTGTGATAAACAATGTTGAGTGTTTCACATCGGTATTGAGTTTGTTTATATGATAAAAACATTCGTAAAGCTCATGGTGAAAAAACGATGCTTCAAGAAAGCTGTTTTTGAAAGCATTTTGCAGCAGTAATTTTGCCTTTTTTCTCCGATAATCAGGATTGTCTTTCTATCATGAAAAAATGCACGTAAGCGAAAAACTAAGCAATGTTTGTTGCAAGAAAGAAAAAAGCCAAAACCGTGCGGAAGAGCTCATTTGGGTTAAGCCGCCAGCTGCCTCCACCGGTCGTGCAGTCCGAGCAGCTCGACGACATGAGGAGGAGGCGGCGGCCATGGCTGAGGCCAGCATCGGTGCCCTCGCCCGAGCCCATGCAATAGTCCGACGACTGAGACCGCTATCAAGGCTCGGGCATAGTGTGTGCGGCCGCCGCACAGGGCCCCATTTGCGAGGGGAGTTGGTATAGTGCCATGCTGCGACCGTTAAGGGAGCGATTTGCTCATGTGCGCGGGCGTTGGTAGGCTAGCCCAATACTTTGGATCAAGCACTTGTACAGAAAGCGTATGTTTGATTTGTGGGGTTTTGTTTTCTATTAATTCTTTCCACAACATCAAAAAACTAAATGTGTTTAGAATATTTTATGAATTTTACAAAATCTAAAAGATTCATGAATCTGAAAAAATGATCACACTTTAAAAAAATGTTCATGAATTTGAATAAGTTGACAAATTCAAAAAATGTACACATATTTGAAAAACTGTTTTCACAGATTGAGAAAAAACGTTCGCGATTCCAAAAATTGTTTGTGGATTCAAAAGTGTTCATGATTTTGTTTACAGATTTTAAAAATGTTCATGGATTTGGAAAATGTTCACAAATTCTAAAAATGTTCACAAAATTGAAAAGGCCTGTGTAAATCATTTCCCCCTAAAATACGCACCGCATTTTTAGTCACTTCGGCATCGCAAGTAGGGCGTTCACCGACAATCCATCCCCAACGAAGGAACGTTCTCCAGATAAACACGTAAAAAAACTGTCTTTTTACCGAGCCCAGCCATCTCTACTCGGCCGGGCGGGCCCAAACCCAAACCCAAAAGAAAGAGGCGGGAAGCCTCAAACGCGTCCCGCCTATTCGGCGGGAACGGGCTTCCATTTCCAGGCGCCACATAAATAAAAGCGAACACCACTCCTCTGCTCCCACCCTTTCTCCCCCCAAATCGCCCGGCACCTCGAATCCCCATCGCCCCCAGCCCAGAAACCCTAACCCCAGCCCCCGCCCCAGCCCCGATGGCGAGGCCGGCGAGGCGCCGCGTCGTGGAGGAGGAGGAGGAGGAGTCCTCCTCCGGCGAGGAGCAGCAGGACCAGTCCGACGCCGGCGGCTCCGGATCCGGCGAGGAGGCGGGAGGGGGCGACGCGGAGGAGGAGGTCGACGAGGAGGAGATCGAGGCCGTCACCACCGGCGCGGGCGCCGACGAGGAGGAGGAGGACGGCGGGGAGGAGGATGGGGAGGAGGAGCCGGAGTCCGACGACGCCGACGAGGTGAGCGTGGGGGCTAGATTTAGAGGGTTTTGGTGCTCGATTTAGAGGGTTTGGGTCCATTGATAACTAGCTTGGTTCATAGTTATCTGCATCCCGTCCCGGCTGCAACAATAATCTGCAAGCATTTCCGCATATTAGTACAAATAAAAATAAAAATAAAAATAAAATAAAACCATAATTTTAACAATATATAGCAGCAGCAGTAGTAATAATGATTTCGAGACATTACCAGGTTTGAATATACCTTAGATCTGGACTGAAATGAAGCTACTGTTTTGAAAAAAGCGGCCCTTTCCATGCCTTACAATGCAATGCAGTAGTTGTCTGGATGCTTGCAGTCTTTGTATTCTTGTGCAAAGCAAGAAGCATGGCAGAGGTGGCTGCAATGG